GAAAGCGCTTTCCGGCAAAGCGCGCCTCGTCTTCGGTGTCCTCAACAAAAAAGAGCACCCGAGTGGAGGAGCTCTTGTTCGGCAAATGCAGGTTTTGTCTATATATATATATATATATACTTGGAGTGGCAGCATTCTCTGGAACAAAACCCCGACGAGTTGTATTTCAAACAATCCAAGTTGGCTGGCTGGTGGTTTCAACTCACTTGAATGTACTGTATATATATATATACCAGGACCCTCCAAGGGGTGTCTATTTATAGCCCCTTAGCTGTTAAGGGGTGTCCATTAACCACCCCTTGAGGGTCCTGGTAATATATTTATTAGTCAGTGGAATCAATCATCTCAAGATATCAAAGATATCTGAAACCATCACCCAGTTGATGCAGTGCCCCTGCTAGCTAGACTACAGCAAGTAATTGTATGGTTTCCTTGATGACCCATTCTCGGGGTCCTGAGCATGGACCTGGAGGTTGAAGCATCATTGCTTGGTGCATGATATGCAGTACTCTTCCACCAGAAATCACTACCGTTTCGTCCGAACACGGAAAACCGAGCTGAGCTGTTCCGGTCCACCTGCCACGCACTCACCGAGCTCAGCTCCCTGAGCTCACCCGCTCTTCGGCGAAGGCACCGACAGGCGATCCAGCTGCACCACCTCCGACTTGGTCCGCACGGTCGGTAGCAGTGCGGTCGGCCTCAGCGGTCTGGATGAGTGACCTCAACGAATCGCTTTGATGTGGGAAGAAGGTAACTTGAAGCCCTAGAAACTGAACATGTAGTTATGACGTACTATACGATTCTATAGGTGGTTACTACCATTATATACAGTAGGTTAGTAAGTAGGCGAAACACCGTCGGGGTCGGAGCATTGAAGATTTGTTGTAGAAGACCCCAGATCGACTCACATCGGGGTAGGTTGACTCCGTAAGACTCCTCATCTTCCATCCACGGCCGCGGAAAACTTCCAATCTCCATAGATAGAGGAACTCTATTCACAAAAGGCGTGGAAGTGCTCCACATCTCGACCTTCTGTGTTTCCAGTGAATTGGAGATGCCAATGGGTCTCTATGCTGCAGGTGTTCCTTCAAAAGTAGATGAAACACTCCTTGGTCGTCCCCTAGGAAGCACCCAAGCCCTGCAACTTAGCAAACACGCCCCTTGCCATTCGGCGCAAATGCGGCCCTCAAACGCGTCCTTTGTCATCAACTCTGGTCGTCCTAGCACATCGCAACCAGAGTCGGCTCGTCCAGCGGGTTGTCCACACACGTCCTACCGGCCATCACACGCCTCGAAGTCACCAAATCTGTCAGGTCAATTCCATTGGCAAGATAAACAAGACAATAAACAAAGCCTTTTGAAGTATAACTGATATTGCCAGAACAAAGAATTGCGTTCTGAACTCCTGGACTGGAGTGGGCCCACATCTACGCCTCCCTAGCGGAACCGCTCACTACGACATGTCAACGACCAGAACAACGTGGTCGTTTTCGCTGCAGACCGCAGACCTCACAGCTCCAAGCTCGAAGGGTTGTTGACCAGCGTCTCTCAATCTACGAAAGCCCCACGTGGCCCATGCCCTAGCCTCTCTTCGGCCTCTCTTCGGTCGATCTCAGCAGTGAACTTTGCATGATCAATCGAATGCTCCGTTTAGCCATGTATCCTTTTGAGATCACAAGAGACAAATCCAACTGTCCTTGCAGGGAAGGAGGCAAACAGAATGTGGAATGAGACAAGTTTAGACACACCCAGACTACGTAGTTCCATATGGCTGTGAGTCAACACCTTGTCACCTTGCCAACCAAACCATGGTGGTTGACATATCCCTTATAGATCCTTGCAACTTATAGAGCATTCTGATCATGTTCAGGTCAACCAGGGTGCCCGTGTTTTGACCCACAGCTGGAACTCTTCCGCTCCTCAACCCAAGATATTCCTGACATTCTCCTGATCACTCCAAAAGTGAACTCCGGATCTGCGGCTTTTCACTTATAAAAGATTGATCGAAGCCTTCGGCTGCGATCGTTGCAACGTCTATCAACAGCCCAAGCCCACGAGGTCGTCGACGGTGCCTGTCTCACTCGAACTATCCCTCGAACTCTGCCGGAGAAGGTGGGTCGGCCAAACTCGACGGGTTCCGGTCAGCTTAAATTGACTGTCTACTGGTTCAGGTATATTATACAGTACATATATTATGGATGTGTTCGATTTCTTTTTGAAAATCAAACACCGTGATGTGTGTGTTTAAAGGATTTCCTTCGCGAAGATGCTTTGTGTCTCACTGAACGGTCGTTGTTCTGCTGAAATCATCCAAAGTAAAAGTGGTTGATTCAAAGTTCCCAATGAATCACTCTGCATTGGATCCCAAGAAACCCCTTTTTTACCACAAGGATCGGCCCTTTCTATGCAGTAATTATCGGTCTCAAATCCCCAAGGCAGGACGGAATAGAGCAGCTGATCCAGCTGTTTTGAAAAAGGCCGCCTATGGCCGCTTCTGTCAAAGGTGTGGTTCTTCCTTGTCTGTGGGTCAAGCCTTCAAGCTAGGCCCAGCTAGGACTGAACCATTTTGGGGTCTTTGCCGCTGAGGGAACACCCCAACATGAAATACGACCAGACAGGCGCAACTCCCATCATTCAACCACAGCGCTTGATCCAGGTTTGATAAAAACATCCTCGGCCTCTTGTTGGGAGAAGCAGCACGGTCTGACGGGGGGCCCTAAAATCTGGAAAGAAAGCCGCACCAAGCGACTTGAAGAGCATCAAAGCTTCCATCAACTTTTATCAATTGAGTGTGAGGTGAGCTGTCGCTCCAGCAAAGACCTAAAATGTGTGGCGAGACCCCCCCAAGAACAAAACGCCTACATGCATAAATATATTTAGAATATAATATATATATATATACTGTTTACCGCAAAGATAGAAGATATTCGGGAATTAATTCAAATAGAAGATGCAGAGTTGGGGGTGCCCAGGCAACGTGTCAAATAGAAGATATATACAGTCGCAGAGGTAGCTCCTGAGATCAAATTTGGCGTTTCTTGGTCAAAACCTCTTGAAGGAGTTTGGAAGCGACATTTCACTGGTATTTACAGCAAATCCTGCTTGTTTGCCTCTAACATGACTCGGGCTAGCCGGCGGAAAATTCTTGGATTTTTGCACCCTATGTCGGCCTATAGGGAGCAACTCTTGCAACATGACCATTTTTGTCTGGACTGGTAGAACATTGCAAAAAAACCTGCAGTTTTTTTTGTGTTTTGGGATGCCTTACCATTGACTCATCAAGCGCGCACATAACAAGTCAAATAGAAGATATAAATGAACATAAATTAACATCAAATAGAAGATATTAGTTTTAACTATTTGGTGGGCGAATGTTTACACAAAATTAATTAAGTAATATCTTCTATTTGAATTGCGCTCGGTATTTTTCCAACTGCAAGCAATCTCTTTGTATATAATTGGTAATGCTTTTAGTATTTGTTGGATTATTATATATATACACTGGTTTCTATTTCATCTCTGAGCTCTGATAAAGATTCTAGCTCTATCTATTGTGGTTTCTATCTATTCTACTTGCTGGCTCTGTCTATACTGCCTGCTAGCTCTATATATATATATATATATAAATGCACCTGCCGCCACATGCTTTCTTGGGCCAGGCGGGCGATCAGAACCCCCGAAGACTAAAACAGTAAGCAAGGCCCGGTAGGAAAGTCAAATAGAAGATCATTTTCAAATAGAAGATCCACCCCACCAAGCCACATTCAAATAGAAGATATATGTTTTTGAGCAGAAAGTCCAAAATGCAAAAGTAGCTCAAAAGACCAAAAATTTGATCATTTTTAATCAAATAATTAATGGGGTCTTCTATTTGAATGGTACGGATGGCACCCTCCCAGATGCATTTCAAATAGAAGATATATAGCCGCAATTTCTTCTATAATTGAGGTAAACAGTATATACATATGTACATTATATAATTGCAGGGCTCTTCCGCATGGCACCTGACCATCGACTGGAAACCTTCAACTTCCTTCTCCTTCTCGTCCGACCTCGTAGGCATTCGTGCGCAGCGCCCCGCTGCCCCATGTGAGCTTCGGCGATAGCCGAAAGCCGAAAAAAAGAAGGGCTGGGCCGAGTTCCAACATCTATGTTAATAATCAATGATATTTGCTTTGGTGAGCGTTCCCAAATGAATTTCCAACTGGACGTCAGTGCCCTAGGAATATCTTGTCAGACGTGTTCTACTGCGCTGAAGCCGCGGTCCACGAAACTAAGACTGCTGTTCCAGCACCCCAGCACAAATCAATTCAATGGTATCGAACAAAACAGGACAGATGGAGTTCAAAGGGACGGTAGGGTGTACAATTCAATACGTGATGATTCACGTGGGACAACATATTGACATCATCGAACATCATCGAACCCCACTTTGAAATGCTTTGGATACTTTGATGTCCCAATACATGACTTCGCTATGCGCTCCTCTTCGCACCGAACACCACCATGCCTCCATGTGTCGGTCCACCGGGTTTCCGTTCCGTTTTTTCGTGCGCCGTCCATGGTCTCCGGTCCGTGGTTCTCGTGGAATCCGCCTGAACAGGACCGATCACTCCTGACGGGCCAAAAAATGCTCACTGCTTGCATCAACTGGCAAAAACCGAGCGAAGCGACGCGAGTTTTTCGACGGTTGATCAGATGATCTTTTAGCTTCTTCACCGTCACCGTCAGTGGGTCGAGAGCGGAACTCGGCTCCCGGGGCCTGAGACGAGACTTTCCAGGTCTCATCGGTCTCTCGGTGGCCGCTGCCGCAGAGAGCGGAGAGACTCGGGTCATTTCAGGTCAAACAGCCATTTGAGCATGAACAAGAGATGTATGCCACCTAACACACAGAATCCTCATTGTTCTCCAATGAAATAGAGCCCAAAATAGATAGAAAAAGTTTACACTAAAAAAAGATAGAAAAGTAGATCCCTCAAAAAGGTGTATTGGACACCGTGGTCACTATCTGCTTGGGGACCACTATATAACGCAAGAACATCCCAGCTACGAAGCTACGAAGCTCCAAACACCTCTGTTCTCCAATCGAAATGTCAATCACCCTTGTTCGGTGTGCTCGCACATTCGAGCGACCAAAACTCGGTTTGCCTCCGGGTTCCATCCGTTTGTCTCTTGAAGCCTCGAATGGAAGCCACGGAGCCTTTGGTAAACCCATGCAGCTACCGATTCCACCAACTCCATTGACGAAGCGCCGAAAAATCGCTGCAACATCCTGCAACGCGAACTCCAGCGATCGCTGCGCTTTGAAGCAGAAACACCGGCGATCCCAGGAACCAGAACAAAAGAAATCATTGAAATCATCATCTATGGCAATCGATGGAAACAAAGCCCGGGCTGTTCCAGAATATGTCCGCCTTCACCCAGCATGAAGCAGATTGCGGCCCTGTTTTGTTTACAGTCGACTGGCGCCGCTCCAAAACTCCGAATCCGCATCACCGGTGGTTCACAGTTCGATGGGCGACTTGGATTGCTCGTCGGAGACGGTCGCCACCTGAGCTCACCCGGAGATGCCCTTCTTGGAGATCACCCAAGATGCTCCAAATCGAAAGCGCAAATCGAGGCAACTCACAAACTCACGTTGATCAACATGTCGTTGAAAAAGCACCATTGAGGAGCAGGAAAAAACTCCCAAATCTTGTGGATTCGGAGTTTATGTCTTTTGGAACTAAGTGACTATATCAGTATAGATATTATATAGAGAGAGATAAATGATGACTTCATGCTAAGAATCGTTAAATTGATTGATTCTGCCGCCTTCATCCCAATTCCCATGGTTTGCATCTTTGCAGCCAGGGTCACCATCGGAGGCGAGACTCGACGGGTGCCACGCTCTTTGCTCAAGCCCCGCGTCGAGCCGCGCAGGTCGCCCGCCGGCAGCAACGCGTCAGAGACCAGCTGCAGCTCCTGCCGCAGCTTGGCCTCGTCTGACTACGTGGATGGACATGCATGGACAGGTGATGACAGGCGTTCCCTGAGGTGGGCAGGGATGCCCCTGGCCCTTTTCTGCATCACTGATGGCCCAAGACGGCCAAAGACCAACCTGACTTGATTGGGAACTGTGTTATAGGATATCGCATATAGCGCATATATACATATATTATTTGATATTATATGTGTGCATCTTGGGATTGAATCACAATATTCATCAAGAAACTGGAAACAGTTCTGCATGAAACATGAGAGGATTCTTCGACCGGATTGCATTCAGCAAAAGGTATCGTATCGGCAGAGGTGTTGCTTCCTGTATACTCAAACTGATTTGGATTTGTTGTTCAAAGTTCAAATGAGTGGGGGAACAACCTGGGAAAAATGATCCCATAGTATGTATTCGTACTTCATAGAATACAGTATACAGACGTGTGTGTGTCCCCTCCTGTTCCAAAGGTGATTATACAAACTCTGTACAGTCCTGCAGGGGGATGCCCCACACCTGAAGAGAGGGCATCTAACAAAGAGGCTCTTCAGGTTGTGCTGATATCAGCAAGGACGCATGCTGACGTGCCTGCACCAATTTAAGTTTCCGGTTGTGATGTTCACAAGCTGTCACCCTACTTCTCCTTGTAAAGGGCTTATGCGAGCTGTTGAAACCTTCTGTTTGACCGACCCAGCACTTCCTGCCGTTCCCTCAAGTCAAGCGCTAAGTATTCACCTAAAGGCCTAACGCATGGGAGTTGCCAAACTGATTTAGCTCTTGCAAGCATGGATCTAAGTGTGTTTCGCAGCATCGTCCCACTGCGGTATGCTGTGTGGCGTGTTGAGCATAGACCCTTAAGGGGGAATTGTCAGTGATTCATCGTCTTGCTTGACCACTTACTGACTCTGCGTCTTGCTTGAGATCGCTGATATCAAGCTGCAGAGCTTACTGACATCTCGTTACAGAATGACATGACATGCGGCTAAGTATTCGCCTCTTTGTTGCTTTCTCTCGTTCTGTTTTGTTTTCGTCTTCTAGGTCTTCTTTCGCTTCTTTCGTTGCTAGAGGCTTTTTAGGTTCCAGGTTGACTTTTAACCAAGTGCTAAGTATTCATTTCTACGTTTCACACTGAGTATTTCATGCACGGTCTTTCTTTTTCTCCTTCTAGGATTTTTCGTTTCTCTCCAGGTTTTCGTTCGTTGCTAGACGCTTTTTAGGTGTGATGTTAATGTTTAGTCAAGGGTGCACCGATTTCGGCTTTCTGGCTAGTGCCATTGGGCCCGTGCCTTTTACCCCACCCCACACGCACCCTGCACCCTTTCTCTCCTTGCCTTCTTTCGTTTGTTTTGTTTTTTCTCTCAGGCTTGTTAGGTTGCGTTTAGGCTCGTTTAGTCGATGCACTTCCCCCCTAATGACACAAGTGAGAATTCAGGGAGCGCCGATATCGGCTAATTGTGTGTGTGTCCCCTCCTGTTCCAAAGGAGATTATACAAACTCTGTACAGTCCTGCAGGGGGATGCCCCACACCTGAAAAGAGGGCATCTAACAAAGAGGCTCTTCAGGTTGTGCTGATATCAGCAAGGATGCTTGCTGACGTACCTGCACCAATTTAAGTTTCCGTTTGTGATGTTCACAAGCTGTCACCCTACTTCTCCTTGTAAAGGGCTTATGCTTATGCGAGCTGTTGAAACCTTCTGTTTGACCGACCCAGCACTTCCTGCCGTTCCCTCAAGTCAAGCGCTAAGTATTCACCAAAAGGCCTAACGCATGGGAGTTGCCAAACTGATTTAGCTCTTGCGAGCATGGATCTAAGTGTGTGTGCGTGTGCTTTTCTCATTATGTCCACAAAAACTGTCGATTCCATGATATTCCTTGGATCACATGAATTAATCTTTGCCAAATCTATGGCCAGAAGAAACTTCAACATGTGGACGTTTTATCTAGTTATGATGAATCGAGTGTCTGCTCTCCCTGCTCTCAGAGTTCATGCCCATGACAACACCGACAATTTTGAAACCGCAATCGCCGGAATCGACTCCACAAATCAAAATGTTGCAATTTGATGCAAGCTGTTGAAACATGTTGAAACCCATCTTGACCCTCGAACCGGTGTTTTCTGGTGCTACTAAGTTCACATCAGCCACCTGTTATTGTCCAGAAACCACCGGTCTTGACGAGTCCTGGCACACAATGTCACAAGCTGGTCCCGGTCACCATACTCTCTACAACATCCACAACGTCACCAGGAGCCGGGAGCCTCAAAATGGTTTGTCTTCAGCCTCTCAAAACCACCTCTACAGCGATCAGGAACTCTCTCACGACCACCATCCAACATCAACACCTTTTTCCTCGAAACCACCAACCGCCCTGACTGCCCTGACCGCCCTGACCGCCCTGACACCAGGCAGCAGTGAGCTGTTTCAGGGAGTACAGGTCTACCGAGCGAGCAGGCCCATGCAGCCTGAGGCCGCACAACCGGTGCCGGTTTGGGAGGTTCCCAAACCATGGTGCCCCGGCCCATGGTTGTGCCATAAGGGTTCGATTTGGTTCGGTCAGGCGATTTAGAGCTGTTCAGTCAGTTTGGGAAAATATCAATGCCAAGGAGTTTTTTTCAGGTGAAGCACACACTTACTTGGTGGGTAGGAATGAATATCGGAGATCTGGCAGTCTGCTGAAGTGTATGATAGCAAGAAATTGTAAGAAATGGAAAGCCAGACTCAGATCCCTCAATTTCATATCAATTTATATATATAGACTATGACGTTGTGGGGATTTCCAAATGTGGAAAGAAAACGCGTCTTGGGACCATCACTGAGCCGTCCTGCCACAGAACGGAAATGGGAACAGACGTTTCTCGGGGATGCGCCATGGCTGTCCATCGCATCCGGAGGTCGCTCCGACGGACGCGCCGGCGCGCGCGAGTCCGCGCGAGGCGAGCCGTGGGTTCTCTTCGCATCCGAGCCACTGAACGCATCTCTCGCTGAAGTCCTGCAAGCCTCAGGGTCTTCCGGTTGTCCCGTCCGGTCCCGATCCTAGCCCCGTGCGACCGGTGCTTTCTTTCGGACACGGTGATTTCGTCCTGAGTCCTCTATTGGGGGTGGTTTACAAAAGGACGCGTAACAAATCAAACATCATCAAACACCAAAGTGAGTGACATTGGGATACATTGGGTATGTCCCTATACAACCAGCAGTGGAATGACCAGGGACTGCCTCCCTCAAAACAAGTCCTGGTAAAAGTGTACTGCACACTAGAAATAGTACTGGACGAATGGACCCCAGAAACCTCTGCAGCAGTATAGGAAAAGGCTGCTCTGCCGCCTCAGAACGACCCGAGTCAACGACCTGCAATACCATGCAATGCCCCAGTGGCTGATGACGTTGTCGCCATCGGCGTCCAAGCTGGCAAATAGGGTCCAAGCATCCTGGCGGACATGTGCAACATGGATACTGCTGGACGTTGGATTCGTCCATCCCATGTCCTACCCAGACGCTCCGTGAAAACAGCTCGATGGGTCCCTCAACACCTGGGGATCAGAAACATGGAGAAACCCCAGACCCCTCCAGAGGATTCGGGTCCAGGGTCGCGTCCGGGGTGTGTCAGTGGTTTCCTCGGGAAATGTTCCTTTAAATCCATCAAAAATGCGGGCCTTCTTGCCAATCTAGACAACACGAGGCAATACTCAAAAAAGAACCACCACCACCAACACCAACACCAACAACAACAGCAACAACAACAACAACAAACAACATGATGCTAGCTATATAGAGTCAATAATTGATCCCCAAACAACAAAAACCCTCTGGGCGCAAACACCAACAAAATGAAACAAACAAGCTCCCTCCCTCCCTCTCAGTTACCCAGCTCTTTAAGCAGAACCCAGCCCGACCGAGCCAACCACATCCATGCCCAGGGGCCACTGCGCCCATCTCCAAGGATTCGAAGAAGGCACGGACCTGCACCTCCGCATGGCGACGACATCCGCGGCAACGGGACCTCCCTTGCGTCTCACCTGGTGGACCCTCCACACATGGAGAGACAGAACAAATGCTGGAGACAGACCAGATGCTGCTTGTTTTAAGAGGGGCGATGAGTCATCGAGCTCGGTGGTTCTGGCCCCAAAAACAAAACAATCACATCCTCAAAGACCCAGCAAATTCTTCGGATGAAAAAATAGAAGCCACAAAGTAAATACGACGAACGGAATGCTTCTGACCGACTCTGACCGGACCAAGAAGCATCGTTGAAGTGCCGTTCGAACTCGCTAATGGTGATCATCCCCAGTCCCAGGTCATCAATCCTCACAATCGTAAAACGGTCCGTGACGCGAGGGTAAGCGGTCTCCGTGCAGCGTTGCGGGTACGGGGTTTTGGCGTTTCAGAGGCAAATGTTGGGCAAAGGATTCTGGTTTGTCTTGAGACAGGGGAGGTTTCCTCTGGTCAAAACTCGAACGAACACCCAACCAAGAAATCCACGGCATTAAAACAGCATAGCAACTTTGGGGAGGCGGGCGTCCAGACCGGCTTGTCGTGCATTTTGTCCCGCGAGAGTGAGGTTTGTCTTCAGACTGGACCCCAATCCAGCCAGAAGACTGATTCCATTTTCAGACGATCTCCTGCACATTCCCAACAAGAGCGGGTTCAAAAAATGACGTAATGTCGAAAATGTGTGGCTACTATGCCTCTTCCATGGTCTTAGAGCTTGAAATTCATAGGCTAGGCTATGATGGCCATATGATCTTCCGCAACAAATGCCTGGTCCACCTCACATGGTGCCCTGACCTGGCCCACAATTGTGGCCTCTTGACCGAATGAAGTCCTGTGGAAGAGGTTTTCCACCAGCTCTTGAAAGTTCTTCTTGCTGTAGATCAACGACCTAATGAGTTCGCAAATGCTCGACGAAAGCAGCTGGCGGGATGGTCGACTCCGCTGTCAGGCAGGGAGATGAGTCAACCAAACGACAAATTTTGTACAAAATGAGGCGCTCCTGCAGGTGCCTGGACCCGGGGTTCTAAGGTTTTGGACCTCAAACATCAATTAATTAACTACTTTTGCGCAGTTAATTATGTTGCTGGTCTAGGCCTCCAAATGGACCCTCCCTGAATGCTCAAAACACGCCCGTGCGGCAGCCGCCTCAGATCCCTCCGGACGGCCAACGACGCGACCTTCGGCCCAAAAGGCTGAATTACCATTTCATGGTCGCTTTCCGCTGCTTTGATTGCACTGTTACCTGGCCAAGCGGAAAGCCCCTTTCCGGTCCGGTGCGGCCGGTGCGGTGGACACCGGTGTGGTGAATGACCTGGGTCCTAACCCTTAGAGGTTCGTTGGGCTCTCATGGTCCTTGAGAACCTTTTGGGTCCGTACAGAATCGTGGATGTTTCTTCACAAGTGGGTTTTCTGGAGATCTACTTCAAGCCGCCCTGTTATCCGTTCTCGGTGGTTTGACGTGGATATGTGTGTTTCTTCTCCAGGATTGACTCATCGTGAGTTGAGGGCGCAAGAATATCACCACATGCGGCCATAGGAATCACACAAAATAGAACGCAGGCAGGGCATGCTTCTTTTGTGAATGCAAATCGATCGGTCCTGAGCGCAGCCCTGAGACCACCCGGGACGCCAGCGGCGGTCCTTTTTCACAGCTTGAACCAAAGGTGAACACATAGTCACACTCCCTGTACCAAAAGCTAACTGGCTGCGTCCCTTCAACTAGAGGTCAATACAATTCCAAGCTACTCATCTTCAATCTAGCACATAAATATTGATGACGTAACTCATAACCAAAGCAGGTTTGGGGTGCATGTCTTCCTGTCCATTCCCTATTCTATTCTATTCTCACCCTGGTCACAGTCCAAGCTTTCCCAGTTCAATGGGGGTGAAGAGGGATGCGACCTTCCTTTACTGACCAGTGCCTAAGCTGTTTATATAAATACATGGTATTCCCTTCTGTGTGTGCGTGCGTGCCTAAACTGGGTTCCTCAGCTCTAAAGCGATTGTGGAGATTTTGCCTCATGCTGTGATGAAAACCCTATACCTTTTGCATCATTGTTCTCGACCCTATGTTTCCAATCCTGATGGAAGCATGTTCAAGCTGTTGGTTCCAACTGGTATTATCAACCAACAATATGTTGTGCAAAATGGCATCCGCCATGCCCAGAAAACGGAACCTGTCTAGTTTTGCCAAGACCAGCGAGATCCCTTTCTTCAGCACCCACCTTGAATTGACCTAATTTGGGGCAAAGAACATTCATGCCCGTCCAACTTTTGACTGCTCTGTAAGTTTGAAACAAATCAGTTTCTTTGTATCTAAGGTCCGTATGTTCGATATCACATCCAAAACTCTCCGCCCACCGCTGCATCCAAGGCCACAGAACACGCCAGTCAGGACGTTCAGCAGGACGAAGCTGGTGAATGCAATGTACAAATTGTAGACCTGTGATACCACCCGGTAGGGCACCAGCATCCAGCCCCAGTAGATTCACACAGGTTTGGGCTCAAGGTTTGGCCACCAAACGTGCGCGACCAAACAATTGTGATCAAACAAAGAAGACAGGCGCATGTGGCAAGCAATAAACATTACGTTTAGGCTCTGTTTAGAAAATTAGCCACGAAAGAGAAAGGTGAGCCCAAAAGCCGCGATACATTCAGACGATACAACATGCAGCCAGGCTCTGTAGAACGACAACAACTTCAGGTGAGAGAAGGACACTTTGTGCCTCAAGAAGGCTACGTACACTTGGCCGCACCAGTTTTTGGTCGGCCCACAATTGGGCTACAACATTGTCACAACCATTCAGGCTACAGGTGGGCCCTAGCAATGCCCACCATCTATTTTTGGGTGGTCATCAGTCACCGGTCGCCCCATGTCATTGTCAGCAACGTCCAGGGTTCAGGTCACGTGTCAACAACGTGCTTCGGCGCTTTTGGTGGCCAGATTGGTTTTCAGAGGTTTTTGCTGTCTGTAAAGACAGAAGTTAGTGCTTTGCAATTACATTGTGTTTTGCAATGGTGCGTTGTTCTTGCTGATTCTAACAAAAATGTGTCCCTGCGAGAAAATGGCCTTGCTTAGGTGTCTCTTTCGATGTCTTTCATGTTCATGCTGGTGCAAAACTGAAGGACGCGTTGGGTCTAACAATTATATCAGCATAGGCGTAGACCCCAAACAGTTTCAAGACGATCCGTTTGGGCCAACATTAAACGATTTCTTGGTACGCCCTACCTTCCCCCCAAGAGCAAACTGCGTTATCAATGATCTTTGTCGGCGTCGACATCGCTAATTGTTCGCCGACAAGAGAAGAGCAGGACAAGAGAAGACAAGAGGAGGACAAGACCCGGTCACAGAGCCCGGCCACAGAGTTCAAGGGCGCGGCCAGTCAGTGTGTCCAGGGCTGGTCAGCGCGGCCAGAGGACAAGAGGAGGACAAGACCCAGCCACAGAGCCCGGCCACAGAGTTCAGGGGCGCGGCCAGTCAGTGTGGCCAGCTCTGTTTTTTCCTAAGATAGAACCCCAACAGTAAACTGTTTGGGGAAAAAAAAGCAGCCGCCCTGGCCATCTTGCAAGCCAAGGCACGAGCACCCAAAGAACTCCCACTTGGGACAAGACGAGGGCCGCTTCACCCCAATCCAAGCCATTCCTACGTGGAGACCAGTGCATGTGAATGTGAGTTCGGTGACAGAACAGCTCACCCTGTCTAACCCTGGTCAACACCATCGGTGATTCCCATCCGAACGTCAAGAGTATACAGTAGTTGTACCCTGAAGATTTCTCTGAAGAAATGAACGAATTGAGAAATGACATGAATGAAAACATGTCATGAGTGTACCAAAGGCCCGGCTGGCTTCGACCCCAGATGGCTACAAACATGAGCACTTCGATTAAATGTAAATGGCCATCCCTCCCGACAATCATCGCCATCTCATATCCAGAACCAACTATGCCTGTGGGTCAAAACAACAGGATACCTTGGTTGACCTGCCTGCGATACTCAAGCTGCATGGTGTTGGGGCTCCAAGTTTGACCTACACTATATCCAACATGCTTGCCCTACCACACTTGCTCAAGGGGCTCCAAGAAGTTAGTTTCCCAAGGCAGGCCCTCGAACCGGTGCCCTCCGGTGCCCTGCTCCCAGCACTGCTGCAGGAAACGCCCCCGGTTCCGGCTCATCCAGTCAGGGTTCGAGATGGACTGGAAGAGCGTGCTGATGGAAAAGTAGACCTCGGAGGCGCTAAAAGTCGAGTCGGCCCTTTTCTTCATGAGGTCTCGGTCTAACTACCAAGCACCAATGTTCCTCTGCAGACTTTTTGGGGCCTTGGGACCATGCAGAGTCTCAAGATCCACGTCAGGATGCATTTTTTGATCGTGGTGGTAGTGTACAGCTGTGGGTCAAAGTGAAGGCTACTTTGCTGTGAATATGCCCAAGCTCACAGCTATGCTGTGTTAATTCAGGAGAAACATCCTTTTAATTATCTAGATGGGTTTGGGCATGGCGTGGTCAGAAAATACCTGAAACCTACACGCGCAGAAACCAACGGAGCGACAGATCCTTCTAACCAGGCATGCTATAGAGGTAGCCAGGTTTACGCGAATGCCGAAAACCGCCATCCTCCCTGGATTCACGGAAAAAAAAGATTCGAAAGTAATCCGACAAAAAACTCAAAGGCATAGGTGGCTCAAGAGTCTTCGGTGTTCATGAGTCTCGATTTTCCGTCCATAAATAAACAGTTTCACGAAACAAGTGCGCAACAACGGGAACCCATTGCATAGTGCCTTCCGGAAAAACTCGACGTACCCCTTCAACTCGTCAACTAGAGCAAACAATTGGGCCCCGAGCCCTGACGCATCCTGACGTTAGTCAACGGAGCTAAGGGATGTGTTTGTTCATTGTTGCCTCAGGATAAAAAGAAAAGTAATTGAGGGTCCAACCGCCCCTTCGAACCAATGCCTCCCGGCGGCCGTTCCAAAGAGAGTTTTCATCTCCTCTATCCGCTCGATGTCTGCTGGGTTGGTCCCTGTGACGATGATGTCGCTGAGATGGTCGAGGACAGCGTCCGTAAAAAGTATGGCGAAGACGTAGATCCTAAACACGCTGCTTCAAAAAAGAATGACGGAACGGAAAAGACCACTGGAATAGACCATCCTCCTGTCCATCACACATTGATGGCACAAGTAACAACAACAACAACAACAACAACAACAACAACAACACCCATAACCACAGCCACAACAACAACCCTGGAAACGACCATGGAGGTTTTGGCACCCGGAAACGAAGAGTCTATGGGAAAACACTGGGCTGTGTGTTTCGTTCATGTTTTCATGACGTTATTTTCGTATTATTTTTACAATACGAGGCCCCTCAACAAAGATCAGACACATTGGAATTGCGACGTGCAACTGGCTGAATTTAGGCCCCCCTCATCTTTTAAGAAGACAACAACGTATGTTGAGGAGAGAAGTCATTAACCCTCGCAGTGCTTCGTGTCGAAATCATGTTTTCATGACATGCGGTCCATTGCGTCTTTTGACTTCCGCGAAGCAGACGCAGTCAGAACCTCAGGCACTGTTTGCATCTGTTTGCCCATTTTTGCCAAAGGCTCTTGCCACTGTTTGTTCGAAAATGGTGGCTCCAAGTGTGCTTCATCAAGAGCGGGCTTAGTCCAGTGGAGCATTTGGCATGGATACTGTATACACCGTGGTCCACGAAGAGTATAACAGATCGTGAGATGTGCCTAGAACCTCGAAAGACAACGTCCAATGATCCGGGTCCAGAACCGTGTCCAACACAAAACTGTCAAGAGGTCCAGTGTGTCTAGTTGCTAGAGAAATCGAAGAATTTCCTTTCATTTCTTTTCATTTTCCTTTTAAAGATTATCATTTCCTGTCATTTTCCTTCAAAGATAATCATGTCCTTTCATTTTCCTTTTAAAAATTGATCGTTTCTATTCGTTTTCCTTCAGCTTCCTCCGGTGTGCCATCTTAGTGCACCTTTTGGAAAATAATCATTTCCTTGTGTTTTCCCATGATCCTTCCCTTTCATGTTCCTTTAAAAATAATCATATCCTTTCATTTTCCTTTAAAAAAAGGATCATTTCTGTGCGTTTTCCTTTAGCTTCAGCTTCCTCTGGTGTGCCATCTTAGTGCACCTTTTGGAAAATAACAATGTTCTTTTGTTTTCCTTTTAAGACAATGATCCTTCCCTTTCATGTTTCTTTTAAACAGATTAATTTCCTTTCATTTTCCTTTGAAACAATTATAGTGTCCTTTCATTTTCTCTTTAAAAATGCTCATTTCCTTTCATTTTCCTTTTAAAGATTATCACATTTCATGTTCCTTTTAACAATAATCATTTCCTTTCATGTTCCTTTAAAAAAATGATCATTTCAAATCGTTTTCCTTTAGCTTCCTCTAGTGTGCCATCTTAGTGCACCTTTTGGAAAATAACAATTTCCTTTCATTTTCCTTTTAAAAGTGATCCTTTCCTTTCATTTTCCTTTGAATAATGATCATGTGGTCCACGTGTCTGTCACTCTGTATGCTTGCAGCTTTAGCTTAAAGATGCCACTGTTCACTCACTCTTGAGGCTGTGGTTGAGGTTGTGACCATGACTCTTGCCTATCCTTCCTTATGTTTTGCCGTTTCTTAGAGTCCTGTGGTGTTGTGATTGTTTGCCGTCTGTGGTTGGGAAACTCTGGAGTGACCCATGTGCCATCTTACACGTCGCAGGGTTGGTCCTCTAGGGTCTCCAGTTGATGAGGTCGAAAAATGACCTGTGCCATCATACTCTTTCCAGCCGGATGTGCCATCCATTCGGGCTAGAGTATAGTAGCCGCCAAAACGTGACAGGCGCAGGAAGATATGCGCATGACTTCGGAGGCCCCAGGGTCGTTATAGCTGGCGCGACCAACAGCAACAACAACACCACCACCACCACCAACAACAACAACAACCACAACCACACCTACACCGACACTCACACCAGCACCCGCACCAGCACCAACACCCGCACCAGCAACAGCAGCAGCAACAACATATGATATACCAACCGATCAATCCGGCGAAGAAACATCAGAAAACAATCATGTTCTCCATCCCATCGACTCACTCCCTGCCAGGCAAGCTGGGCGTCCTACACTGGTCAATCAAGCACTTCGCAGTGGGATATATGCCACCCAAAAGACGCCTGATCCGTTCTACGCCTGGAAAGTTTGTGGGATGTAACTGAAATGGCCTTTTTGCAGCCAGGAGTGGGAATGGCTTGTCACTTTCAAAGGGGAGATCATCCCAGGGTTCATGCTGTGGATCAATGCAAGTCTTGAGCGGCTTGTAGATATATGATATATGGCAAACATGTAGATCTGCAAACGGGGAATCCAGCACACGCCGTCGAACGGAGCCACAGAGGCTCACCGGTAAACAGTGAAAAAAGCGGAGCCACATTGGCTGGATTCAGCCCGGCGAGCGGGCGACCGTGGACCGGGCGACCCGGGCCAATTCCTTAAGTAATGGGAATGGCTTGACTCATCGAATGGAAGAGGAGGAGTTGAACCCAGCCTGGCTCATCAGCCGGCAAGTTGCACCAACACCCAGACAGGGAGTGATACAGATCGGTGGCTCAGGAACTGGGAATACACTGAACTCAGCGACCAATCTATGTTCAAAACGAAAAACAACGGCGTTGAAGACCAATAAACGACACAAACGCACAATGAAGCCACTGGACCCGCTAAAGAAAAAGGATTATATAACTAGCCAACGGAATAACACTGGGAACTCCCTGTATTGAATGGCGAATGTGACCCCAGCTCCAAATCCCTCCCTCCTGAGCACTTACTGTAGTTCAAAGGGAAGATGGGACCGGGCAAACGGGAGCGAGCCTGGGCCTCAGAAAGCTCCAGTTTCTTCTTTCAAGGTGACCTCTAAAGGATTGTTGGAGTTGTGGCGGCTCTCTCAAAAATGAACATGGCAATTGATCATGCCCATCCGGTAGAGGTAAACATGATCGTCCCAACCCTCCCTGCAATTCTCCGTGTCGTTTCACAAGGGCAAACTGGTCTGGTGATACCAGCCTGAACTCTAAGAGGCGTTGATTGGTGAGCCTTCCTTCTAACATGGTTCTGTGATCAGTCTGGATGTGCCCACCATCCATCCAGTCTGCTTATTTGGACCTTCAGCCGAGCATCATGAGGAGAAGCAAGATCAGGGCCCAAACAAACCTTAGCGACAATCCCGGATTAGGTGCCCTCCTGGCCTACTAGCTGCTAGCTGAGTATATGTGGTTGGAATGCACTCTAACATCCAAAATAGGTCTACTGGACCTGCCAAGAACCTCCAGTGCAAGTCTGTGACTCCCTGGAAGGTGGAAAGTCCATGTGCTCTTCATCCGCGAAAGAATACCATCCCCTAGACATGATAGGAATGATGGTGTATAGCCCACCTGGTGGACTTTCGATCTGTCCGGACTCCTCAATTTGAGCTGCCCCAAAGGCATGTATAAAATCTCTCGGGAGCCATCCTTGGAGGGTGGTACTATTTTAACTCGTATGGTATCATCTGGACACGAACGCCAATCTCACTCAAACAATCTGAAAAGTGGAGTTGAACTCCCGGAGAAACTTTCTTCTATATAAATGAGAAAAGGAACCATTGAGCAAAAGCTAGGCCTGAATCGGGGAGCAGAGAAGAAGAAAACTGTATAAAGACATAGTTATATATAGATCATACTAATCTTAAGACCTAACAAATTGACCTATTGACCCAACACATTCTTTAGATTTCTCAATATCTGCACATTCATTGACCATATTCACCCCTATGTCAATTGGACAGTGCTTTCTCAAACCCGCTCGGTACGGGCCAAGGGACGACTTGGTGGTGTCCACCACACAATGCACCAGCGTCCTTAATGGCTTCTTGTTTCTGATAGCTTCTTGTTACTACTAGTAAGGCACTTGTTACTAGTAGCGATGCACTTGTTACTACTAGTAAGGCACTTGTTACTAGTAGCGATGCACTTGTTACTAATAGCAAGGCACTTGTTACTAGTAGCGATGCACTTGTTACTACTAGTAAGGCACTTGTTACTAGTAGCGATGCACTTGTTACTAATAGTAAGGCACTTGTTACTAGTAGCGATGCACTTGTTACTACTAGTAAGGCACTTGTTACTAGTAGCGATGCACTTGTTACTACTAGTAAGGCACTTGTTACTAGTAGCGATGCACTTGTTACTACTAGTAAGGCACTTGTTACTAGTAGCGATGCACTTGTTACTACTAGTATGGCACTTGTTACTAGTAGCGATGCACTTGTTACTACTAGTA